ACAACAGGATGCACTGCGGCCATAGGGATACACTGCGGCCATAGGGATACACTGCAGCCATAGGGATACACTGCGGCCATAGGGATGCACTGCGGCCATAGGGATACACTGCGGCCATAGGGATACACTGCGGCCATAGGGATGCACTGCGGCCATAGGGATGCACTGCGGCCATAGGGATGCACTGCGGCCATAGGGATGCACTGCGGCCATAGGGATGCACTGCGGCCATAGGGATGCACTGCGGCCATAGGGATGCACTGCGGCCATAGGGATACACTGCGGCCATAGGGATGCACTGCGGCCATAGGGATACACTGCAGCCATAGGGATACACTGCGGCCATAGGGATGCACTGCGGCCATAGGGATACACTGCGGCCATAGGGATGCACTGCGGCCATAGGGATACACTGCGGCCATAGGGATGCACTGCGGCCATAGGGATGCACTGCGGCCATAGGGATGCACTGCGGCCATAGGGATGCACTGCGGCCATAGGGATGCACTGCGGCCATAGGGATGCACTGCGGCCATAGGGATGCACTGCGGCCATAGGGATACACTGCGGCCATAGGGATGCACTGCGGCCATAGGGATGCACTGCGGCCATAGGGATACACTGCGGCCATAGGGATACACTGCGGCCATAGGGATGCACTGCGGCCATAGGGATACACTGCGGCCATAGGGATACACTGCGGCCATAGGGATACACTGCGGCCATAGGGATGCACTGCGGCCATAGGGATGCACTGCGGCCATAGGGATACACTGCGGCCATAGGGATACACTGCGGCCATAGGGATGCACTGCGGCCATAGGGATGCACTGCGGCCATAGGGATACACTGCAGCCATAGGGATACACTGCGGCCATAGGGATGCACTGCGGCCATAGGGATGCACTGCGGCCATAGGGATGCACTGCGGCCATAGGGATGCACTGCGGCCATAGGGATACACTGCGGCCATAGGGATACACTGCGGCCATAGGGATACACTGCGGCCATAGGGATACACTGCAGCCATTGGGATGCACTGCAGCCATTGGGGATACACTGCGGCCATTGGGGATACACTGCGGCCATAGGGGCACAGCACCCATATAAATAACACTCATTGAGACAGCATCCACAGAGAGCACCCATGGGAGACAGCACCCAGAGACAGCATCCATAGGGACAGCACCCATAGACACAGCACCCATAGGGACACAGCACCCATAGAGACACACAACACAGACACTCAGCACCCATAAGGACCCCTCAGCACCCATGGCACAACCCAGCACCCATACAGACCCCCACATACCCATGGGAGAGCCCTGAGCCCATTGAACCCCCCAGCACCCATAGGAGACCCCAGCACCCATAGGGTGGTCAGGGCAGAGCACTGAAACCCCCATCACCCCTGGGTCCCAATGCCCCCATCACCCATGGGTCCTAATGCCCCCATCACCCATGGGTCCTAATGCCCCCATCACCCATGGGTCCTAATGCCCCCATCACCCCCGGGTCCTAATGCCCCCATCACCCATGGGTCCTAATGCCCCCATCACCCATGGGTCCTAATGCCCCCATCACCCATGGGTCCTAATGCCCCCATCACCCATGGGTCCTAATGCCCCCATCACCCATGGGTCCTAATGCCCCCATCACCCCTGGGTCCTAATGCCCCCATCACCCCCGGGCCTAATGCCCCCATCACCCATGGGTCCTAATGCCCCCATCACCCATGGGTCCTATTGGCCCCATCACCCATGGGTCCTAATGCCCCCATCACCCCTGGGTCCCAATGCCCCCATCACCCATGGGTCCCATGACTCCCCATCACTCCCAGAGCCCATGACCCCCAGTACCCCTGGATGCCCCCATAACCCATGTGTCCCCCCCCCCCCATGGGTGCCCCCCCACCCCCTCACCTGGTAGTTGGATTTGCCATGGCGGGACACGAAGCGCTCATCATTGACGAGCTGGGCCAGGCGCGTGGCGGCCTCATCCAGGCGCCCGGCGGCACAGAGGTACCCCACGAACTCCTCTGCGCTCTCGGGGCTCAGCTGGGGGGGGGGAACAGGGTCAGCGCCATGGGGTGACAGCAAGGGGTGCAGCCCCCACCTTAGGGTGGCACCAAGGGGTGCAGCCACCACCTTAGGGTGACACCAAGGGGTGCACCCCCCACCTTAGGGTGACAGCAAGGGGTGCACCCCCCACCTTAGGGTGACACCAAGGGGTGCACCCCCCACCTTAGGGTGACAGCAAGGGGTGCAGCCACCACCTTAGGGTGACAACATGGGGTGCACCCCCAAATTAGGGTGACACCAAGGGGTTCAACCCCCACCTTAGGGTGACACCAAGGGGTGCAGCCACCACCTGAAGGTGACACCAAGGAGTGCCCCCCTCACCTTAGGGTGACACCAAGGGGTGCAGCCCCCACGTTAGGGTGACACCAAGGGGTGCAGCCCCCACCTTAGTGTGACACCAAGGGGTGCAACCCCCACTTTAGGGTGACACCAAGGGGTGCCCCCCTCACCTTAGGGTGACACCAAGGGGTGCAACCCCACATGAAGGTGACACCAAGGGGTGCAGCCCCCACTTTAGGGTGGTACCAAGGGGTGCAGCCCCCACCTTAGGGTGACACCAAGGGGTTCAACCCCCACCTTAGGGTTACACCAAGGGGTGCAGCCCCCACTTTAGGGTGGTACCAAGGGGTGCAACCCCACGTTAAGGTGATACCGTGGCCTGTACCATCAGCCTGGACTGACACTGTGGGGTGTAATGTTGGCATATGCACACAGGTACACCCGCACACAGGTACACCTGCACTGGGCACAGCAGCAGTGCAGTACCTTCAGGAAGTGGATGTACACCTGCACACAGGTACACCCGCACAGGTACACCCGTACTGGGTACCCCCACCCTGCAGTACCTTCAGGAAGCAGCAGTACACCCGCACACAGGTACACCCGCACTGGGTACCCGCGCACAGAGATACACCCGCACTGGGCACACCCACACTGGGTACACCCTCACACAGGTACCCCCTTGCCCTGCAGTACCTTCAGGAAGCGGCGGTACACCCGCACTGGGTACCCCTGCACACAGGTACACCCGCACACAGGTACCCCCTCACCCTATAGTACCTTCAGGAAGCGGCGGTACACCCGCACACAGGTACACCCCCACTGGGTACACCCGCACACAGGTACCCCCTCACCCTACAGTACCTTCAGGAAGCAGCGGTACACCCGCACTGGGTACACCCGCACTGGGTACCCCTGCACACAGGTACCCCCTCAGCCTACAGTACCTTCAGGAAGCATCGGTACACCCGCACACAGGTACACCCGCACTGGGTACACCCGCACTGGGTACCCCTGCACACAGGTACCCCCCTGCCCTACAGTACCTTCAGGAAGCATCGGTACACCCGCACACAGGTACACCCGCACAGAGGTACACCCGCACTGGTTACACCCGCACTGGGTACACCCTTCAGTACCTTCAGGAAGCGGCGGTACACCCGCACACAGGTACCCCCGCACACAGGCACACCCGCACTGGGTACACCCGCACTGGGTACCTTCCCCCTGCAGTACCTTCAGGAAGCGTCGGTACACCCGCACACAGGTACACCCGCACTGGGTACCCCTGCACACAGGTACCCCCCCTGCCCTACAGTACCTTCAGGAAGCGGCGGTACACCCGCACTGGGTACACCCGCACTGGGTACACCCGCACTGGGTACACCCGCACTGGGTACCCTCACCCTGCAGTACCTTCAGGAAGCATCGGTACACCCGCACTGGGTACACCCGCACACAGGTACACCCGCACTGGGTACCCTCACCCTTCAGTACCTTCAGGAAGCGGCGGTACACCCGCACACAGGTACACCCGCACTGGGTACACCCGCACAGTGTACCCTCCCCCTGCAGTACCTTCAGGAAGCGGCGGTACACCCGCACACAGGTACACCCTCACACAGGTACCCCCCTGCCCTTCAGTACCTTCAGGAAGCGGCGGTACACCCGCACTGGGTACCCCTGCACACAGGTACCCCCTCACCCTATAGTACCTTCAGGAAGCGGCGGTACACCCGCACACAGGTACACCCGCACTGGTTACACCCACACTGGGTACCCTCAGCCTACAGTACCTTCAGAAAGCGGCGGTACACCCGCACTGGGTACACCCGCACACAGGTACACCCGCACACAGGCACACCCGCACACAGGTACACCCTCACCCTTCAGTACCTTCAGGAAGCGTCGGTACACCCGCACGGCGGTCTCGGGCAGCGGGTACCGCCGCACGAACTGCAGGTAGAGCGGCCAGATGCGGTGGTGCTGGGTGATGGGCAGCGCCCGCAGCGCCCGGTCGAAGGTGCGGCGCGTGCGCGTGATCCGGCCCTGGTCCACCAGGAACTGGCAGTAATCCAGCCAGATGCGCGGCATCTGCGGGCATGGGGGGGTTATGGGGCTGGGCAGGTGGTTATGGGGCTGGGGGGGTTATGGGGCTGGGGGGGTGGTTATGGGGCTGGGGGGGGTTATGGGGCTGGGGGGGTTATGGGGCTGGGGGGGCTGTTATAGGGCTGGAGGGGCGGTTATGGGGCTGGGGGGTCGGTTATGCTGGGGCGGTGGGTTATGGGGCTGGGGGGTCGGTTATGGGGCTGGGGGGGTCGGTTATGGGGCTGGGAGGGAGCTATGGGGTTGGTTATGGGGCTGGGGGGCAGTTATGGGGCTGGGGCTGGGGGGTTATGGGGCTAGGGGGCAGTGGTTATGGGGCTGGGGGGGTTATAGGGCTGGGGGGTTGGTTATAGGGCTGGAGGGGTTATGGGGCTGGGGGGGTGGTTATGGGGCTGGGGGGGTTATGGGGCTGGGGGGGTTATGGGGCTAGGGGCAGTGGTTATGGGGCTGGGGGGGTTATGGGGCTGGGGATTGGTTATAGGGCTGGAGGGGTTATGGGGCTGGGGGGGGTTATGGGACTGGGGGGGTTATGGGGCTGGGGGGTCGGTTATGGGGCTGGGGGGGTTATGGGGCTGGGGGGACGGTTATGGGTCCGGAGGTGTTGTTATAGGGCTAGGGCGGTAGTTATGGGGATAGGGGGGCGGTTATAGGGCTGGAGGGGCGGTTATGGGGGTGGGAGGTGTTATGGGGCTGGGAGGGGCAGTTATAGGTCTGGAGCGGCAGTTATGGGGTTGGGGAGGGTTATGGAGCTGGGGGGAGCTATGGCGGTAGGGGGGCAGTTATGCAGCTGGGGGAGCAGTGATGGGGCTGTGGGGAGGCAGTTATGGGGCCGGGTGAGGAAGTTATGGGGCCAGGGTGGGCAGTTATGGGGCTGGGGGGCGGTTATGGGGCTGGGGGGGGGGGTCTTGTCCCCATGCCCCCCCCTCACCTTGTGCATGAAGACGAGGGCTCGCTCGTGGCAGGCGTTGGCTTCCTCATAGGCCGGGTCCGTGGGGCAGCGCCCCTTGACCTGCTGCCGGCGGTGCCGCAGGTACTGGTACCACAGCTTGTAACTGGGGGCAACAGCGGGGACACCCAGTGACACACATTAACACCCAGTGACATCCATCCATGGACACCCAGTGACACCCATCCATTGACACCAGTGACACCCAGGGACAGCCACCCATTGACACCCAGGGACACCCACCCATTGACACCCACTGACACCCATCCACTGACATCCATTGACACCCAGTGACACCCATCCACTGACATCCACTGACATCCATTGACACCCAGGGACACCCATCCATTGACACCCATCCATTGACACCCAGTGGCACCGATTACCCCATGTATCCCATTCTCTCTGTATCCCATTCTCCCTGTATCCCATTATCCCATGCATCCCATTACCCCTGTATCCGATATACCCCATTCTCTCTGTATCCCACGTACCTCATATATCCCATTATCCCATGTACCCGATGTACCCTATGTATCCCATTATCCCTGTATCCCATGTACCTAATATACCTTATTGTTATCCCATGGATCCCATTATTATCCCATTGTTATCCCATGCATCCCGTTATCTGTGTATCCCATGTATCCCACGTACTCAACGTACCCCACTGTTATCCCATTATTATCACACAGACAATAGACACATTATTATCCCCTTATTATCCCGTTATCCCTGTATCCCATGTATGCGATGTACCCCATCCTTATCCCATTTCTATCCCATTGTTATTCCATTATTAACCCATTGTTATCCCACTGTTATCCCATTACTATCCCATTGTTATTGCACTGTTATCCCATTGTTATCTCATTACTATCCCATTGTTATCCCACTGTTTTCACATTGTTATCCCACTGTTACCCCACTGTTACCCCACTGTTATCCCATTACTACCCCACTGTTTTCCCATTGTTATCCCATTATTATCCCACTGTTACCCCACTGTTATCACATTACTTCCCCACTATTACCCCACTGTTATCCCACTGTTACCCCACTGTTATCCCATTGTTATCCCATTGTTACCCCACTGTTATCCCATTGTTACCCCACTGTTACCCCACTGTTATCCCATTGTTACCCCACTGTTATCCCATTGTTACCCCACTGTTCTCCCACTGTTACCCCACTGTTATCCCACTGTTACCCCACTGTTATCCCACTGTTACCCCATTACTATCCCATTACTATCCCATTGTTATCCCTGGCTCCCCACCTGCCCGGCAGCTGCCGGAGGCCGCGCTCGAAGAGGAGGTTGAGGCGGTGCCGCGGCCCCTTGAGGCGGCTCTGGGCATAGCGCAGCCAGCAGCGAACAGAGAAGGGGCTCCGGAGCAGCTCCTCCTCGTGCTGCACGTCCTCCTCTTCCTGTAGGGATACAGGGATGGGATAAAGACATGGGATACAGCAATGGGATACAGCAATGGGATACAGTGATGGGATAGAGCAGGGATACAGCAATGGGATAGGGATGGGATAGCGCAGCCAGCAGCGAACAGAGAAGGGGCTCCGGAGCAGCTCCTCCTCGTGCTGCACGTCCTCCTCTTCCTGTAGGGATACAGCAATGGGATACAGCAATGGGATACAGCAATGGGATAGAGCAGGGATACAGCAATGGGATAGAGCCATGGGATAGAGCAATGGGATAGAGCAATGGGATAGAGCAATGGGATAGGGATGGGATAGCGCAGCCAGCAGCGAACAGAGAAGGGGCTCCGGAGCAGCTCCTCCTCGTGCTGCACGTCCTCCTCTTCCTGCAGGGATACAGCAATGGGATAGAGCAGGGATACAGCAATGGGATAGAGCAGGGATACAGCAATGGGATACAGCAATGGGATAGAGCCATAGGATAGAGATGGGAGAGAGATGGGAGAGAGCAATGGGATAGAGATGGGACAGAGATGGGATAGAGATTGGATAGAGCGGGGATAGAGATGAGATAGACATGGAATAGAAATAGAATAGAAACGGGATAGAAATGGGATAAAAACGGGATAGAAATGGGATAGAGACGGGATAGAAATGGGATAGAGATGAGATAGAAATGGGATAAAGATGGGATAGAAATGGGATAAAGACAGGATAGAAATGGGATAGAGACGGGATAGAAATGGGATAGAGATGGGATAGAAATGGGATAAAGACAGGATAGAAATGGGATAGAGACGGGATAGAAATGGGATAGAGATGGGATAGAAATGGGATAAAGACGGGATAGAAATGGGATAGAGACGGGATAGAAATGGGATAGAAATGGGATAGAGATGGGATAGAAATGGGATAGAGATGGGATAGAAATGGGATAAAGACGGGATAGAAATGGGATAGAGATGGGATAGAAATGGGATAGAAATGGGATAGAGATGGGATAGAGATGGGATAGAGATGGGATAGAGATGGGATAGAGATGGGATAGAAATGGGATAGAAATGGGATAGAAATGGGATAGACCAGGGATAGAGCAGGGATAGCGATGCGATAGAAATGGGATAGAGATGGGATAGAAATGGGATAAAGACGGGATAGAAATGGGATAGAGACGGGATAGAAATGGGATAGAGACGGGATAGAGATGGGATAGAAATGGGATAGAGACGGGATAGAAATGGGATAGAAACGGGATAGAAATGGGATAGAGATGGGATAGACCAGAGATAGAGCAGGGATAGCAATGCGATAGAGCAGCACAGTACCAGGATAGGGCAGGGATAGGGCAGAGACAGCACCAGGCCAGTGTGGGGACAGGAGGGACACTAGGAGTGGGAACAAGAGGGAATGGGGACACGGGGAAAGGGATAACGGGGGTAAATGGGGACGGGGACATGGACAATGGGGGCACACGAGGCAGGGATAATGGGGACACGGGGACAGGGATAACGGGGGTAAATGGGGACGGGGACCCACACAATGGGGGGACACGAGGCAGGGATAATGGGGACTCGGGAACAGGGATAACGGGGGTAAATGGGGACAGGGACACGGACAATGGGGGGACACGGGGAAGGGATAACGGGGCTCTATGGGGGGCAATGGGGGGGGCAGGATCGGGCCCATCATGGCGGCACTCACGAAGCTCAGCTCGGGCCGCTCCAGCTGCGCCTCCAGCCCCGCTCCGGGCCTGGGCCCAGGCCCCGGCTCCAGCTCCTGCTCCTGCTCCCCATGGGGCGGCCCCGCTTCGGGCTCCGGAACCGGCTCCGGCTCCATCCCCGGCTCTGATCCCGATCCCGGTCCCGATCCCGGTCCCGGTCCCGGCTCCGGTTCCTCCATCGCGGCCTCCTCCATCGCGGCCTCCTCCATCACCGCGGCCTCCGCCATGTCAGCTCCCTCCGCCATGCCGCCACTTCCGCCCGCTCGCTGGCGGTCACTTCCGCCTTCTCCCTCCCTCGCTCATTGGCTGCCACTTCCGCCCTCTCGCTCGCTCATTGGCCACGGCTCCCGCCCGTTAGGATTTTATCTCAGCCAATCGCTGGCGGTCGTACTGGGAGCTCGGCCAATGGGTGGGCGCTGTGTTATGAGGTTGCGGAGGAGGAAGTTGGTGGCGCGCTGGAGGAAGCATGGGGGTGAAGCTGGAAATACTAAGGGTGCGGGGGGACAATGGGGACAATGGGGGGTAATGGGGACAATGGGGCAATGGGCGTAATGGGGGCAATGGGGTAATGGGGACAATGGGGGTAATGGGGACAATGGGGTAATGGGGACAATGGGGACAATGGGGGCAATGGGGTAATGGGGGCAATGGGGGCAATGGGGACAATGGGGGTAAGGGGGTAATGGGGGCAATGGGGATAATGGGGGTAATGGGGACAATGGGGGCAATGGGGGCAATGGGGGCAATGGGGGCAATGGGGGTAATGGGGACAATGGGGGTAATGGGGACAATGGGGGGTAATGGGGACAATGGGGGTAATGGGGGCAATGGGGCAATGGGGGTAATGGGGGCAATGGGGCAATGGGGGGCAATGGGGACAATGGGGCAATGGGGGTAATGGGGACAATGGGGGCAATGGGGGTAATGGGGAGCAATGGAGGTTAATAGGTAATGGAGGCAATGGAGGTTAATGGGGGGCAATGGGGATTAATGGGGGACAATAGGGAATTAATGGGGGCAATGAGGGGCAGTGGAGGTTAATGGGGGTTAATAGGGGAGCAATGGGGGTTAACGGGGGCAATGGGGGCAATGGATGTTAATGGGGACAATGGGGGTTAATGGGGGGCAATGGGTGTCCCCGGCAGATGCTGCTCTGCCTTCCCTTCCCTGTGGGGTTGTATTGGGTGCCACTGAGTGCCAATGGGTGTCAGTGGGTGACACTGGGTGTCACTGGTGTCACAATGGGTCCCAATGGGGCTCACAGTGAGTCCCAATCGGTGTCACTGGGGGTACCAATGGGTCCCAGTGGGTCTCTATGGGTCTCTGTGGTCCCCATGGGTCTCTATAGGTCCCTGCAGATGCTGCTCTACCTTTCCTTCATGGTGGGGGGGTTCTGGGTGTCCCAATGGGTGTCACTGGGTGTCCCAATGGGGGTCCCAATGAGTCCCAATGAGTCCCAATGGGTGTCACTGGGTGTCCCAATGGGCGTCACTGGGTGTCCAATGGGTCCCAGTGGGTCTCTATGGGTGTCCCAATGGGTCTCTGTGGGTCCCAGTGGGTCTCTATGGGTCCCTATGGGTCTCTATGGGTCCCTACAGATGCTGCTCTACCTTTCCTTCCCGGTGGGGCTGTTCTGGGTGTCCCAATGGGTGTCCCAATGGGTCTCTATGGGTCCCCATGGGTCCCTATGGGTCCCAGTGGGTCCCTATGGGTCCCCATGGGTCTCTATGGGTCCCTGCAGATGCTGCTCTACCTTTCCTTCCCGGTGGGGCTGTTCTGGGTCTCCAACCAGGCCGAGTACTTCCAGCGTCACGTGGTGCAGCGCAGGGTGCGGAGGGGGCGGGGCCAAGCGGAGGGGGCGGGGCCAAGGGGGAACGGGCCCCGCGGTGGGGGCAGGGGGAGGGCAAGGGGGGGGGGGGGCGGAATGGGAAGGGAGGTCATGGGGGGGCAGGGAGGGGAAGGGGGTTCATGGGGGGGTCATGAGTCATGGGGGGGTCATGGGTGGGGGGGGGGGAAGGGGGGATGGGGATCATGGGGGGATGGGAAGGCGGGGTCATGGGTGGGGGAGGGGGAGGGGGGTCATGGGGGGGAGGGGCCCCCTCATTCCCGGCTCTTTTCCAGAGGGAGATTTTTCCTCCGGACAACCCCGAGCGGGTGAGTGACCCCTGTGACCCCTGTTTGACCTTTGTGTGACCCCTGTATGACCCCTGTGTGACCCTTGTGTGACTCCTGTGTGACTCCTGTATGACCCCTGTGACCCTTGTGTGACCCCTGTGTGACCCCTGTGACCCCTGTGTGACCCCTGTTTGACCTTTGTGTGATCCCTGTGACCCATGTGTGGCCCCTGTATGGCCCCTGTGTGACCCCGTGACCCCTGTTTGACCTTTGTGTGACCCCTGTGACCCTTGTGTGACCCCTGTATGGCCCCTGTGTGACCCTTGTGTGACCCCGTGACCCTTGTGTGACCCCTGTGTGTCCTCTGTGACACCTGTGTGACCCCTGTGACCCCTGTGTGACCGCTGTGTGACCCCTGTGACCTTTGTTTGACCCCTGTGTGACCCCTGTGACCCTTCTGTGACCCCTGTGACTTTCCCATGTACCCCAGTGTCCCCAATGTGACCCCCCCATGTGCCCCAATGGACCCCAGTGTATCCCCAGTGACTCCCCCCAATGGAATCCAATGTCCCCAGTAACCCCCCCCAGTGTCCCCAATGTGCCCCCCCCTCAGTGGACCCCAATGGACCCCAGTGATCCCCCAGTGTCCCCAGTGTGTCCCTGATATGGACCCCAGTGACCCCCCCCAATGTCCCTAGTGTGACCCCCCAGTGACCCCCCCGCTCTTCTCTGTGCCCCCCTTGACCCTGTGCCCCCCCCTTGACCCCATGCCCCCCCCATGTCCCCCCCCAGCGCCAGGCAATGGCGGCGCTGAAGCAGCGGCTGCGGGAGGGGAAGGAGCCCCGGGACTGATGGAGGGGACCCAGGGAGCTGGGGGGGCCTCATCCTGCCCCATGGAGCAGCCCCATGGACCCACTGTGGACACAGGGCCTCATCCTGCCCCATGGATGCATTGGAGACAAGGGACACAGGGCCTCATCCTGCCCCATGGAGCAGCAGTAGGGATGCACTAGGGACACGGGGCCTCATCCTGCCCCATGGATGTGCCTTGGACCCAGCCCCATGGACCCACTGAGGATGAAGGGGAGATGTGGCTTCACTCTCAAGCCATCACCATGGACACAGGGCCTCATCCTGCCCCATGGACCCACTGTGGACACAGGGCCTCATCCTGCCCCATGGATGTATCCTGACCCAGCCCCATGGATGCATTGGGGACAAGGGACACGGACCCTCATCCTGCCCCATGGATGTGCCTTGGACCCAGCCCCATGGACCCACTGGAGATATGGTGCCTCATCCTGCCCCATGGATGTATCCTGATCCAGCCCCATGGACCCACTGGGGATGAAGGGGAGATGTGGCTTCACCCTCAAGCCATCACCATGGACACGGGGCCTCATCCTGCCCCATGGATGCATCCTGACCCAGCCCCATGGATGCATTGGAGACAAGGGACAGGGGCCCTCATCCTGCCCCGTGGAGCAGCACCAGGGATGCATTGGGGACAGGGGGTCTCATCCTGCCCCATGGATGTATCCTGACCCATCACCACAGATGCATTGGAGACAAGGGACACGGGGCCTCATCCTGCCCCATGGACGTGCCTTGGACCCAGCCCCATGGACCCACTGGAGATATGGGGCCTCATCCTGCCCCATGGATATATCCTGACCAACACCATGGACCCACTGGAGATATGGGGCCTCATCCTGCCCCATGGATGCATCCTGATCCAGCCCCATGGACACACTGGGGACAGGGGATATGGGGCCTCATCCTGCCCCATGGACGTGCCTTGGACCCAGCCCCATGGACCCACTGGAGATATGGGGCCTCATCCTGCCCCATGGATCCATCCTGCCCCATAGATCCATCCTGCCCCATAGATCCATCCAGCCCCATAGATCCATCCAGCCCCATAGATCCATCCTGCCCCATAGATCCATCCTGCCCCATGGATCCATCCTGCCCCAGCACCCATTGGGCAAC